CGGTGTTCGTTTCTTTATCTTTAGCCATGCTTGCTTCTTTTGTCGTTGCTTTTCCTCCTTCACATTATGAATATTTCTTCTCGCGCCTGCTCTTGTTCATTGCTTGTTTATGCTCTTTATGTATTTACTCCTTCGTTCGTTGCTTTTGCCTTCATTGTGTTCATTATCGCGGGCGTTCCTTGCTTGCGTCCTTTTGCCGTTGTTCTTTCTTCCGTTATCTACTGTCGTTGCTCGTTCTTGATTTCGGGCCGCGCTATTTCTAGCTTGTTATTGCTCTCTTGTTGTTTCTCCCTTCCTTTCCCTCTCCCTCTTTCGACTCTCATTCTCTTCTTCCGCCGGGCATGAGGGGCTGTTAAGACCCCTCGGCCACTAGGGCCCCCCCAGATTTTGTGGGGACTTTGGAGGAGTGTGAAAATATTTCGTAGTTGTTTTCTCATTCTCTCTCCCTCTCTCTCTCTGTGTCTTTTCCCCCACACTCTCACTCGCTCTCTCTCTCTCTCTCTTTACCTCGCTCGCTCTTCCTCCCTGCTCCTTCGCTCGTTGGCATGCCTGGCATTTCTTACTGCCAGAATCCTATCTACGTTGAGCGAAGATGCGACGTTGACGGACCAGACTCGCGCCAGTGCAACCAGCTCCAGCTCGCCGCCCCACGACTCCGACCGCCGCATGAGTCCTTGGAAGGGGGGACAACCCACCAAACCCATCGACTAGATAACAAACCAGTATCAACACTGACTGAATATGCTGCATGTGAATACAAGTTGCTGAGGTAGTCGTCGAAGTTCCCATCGTCAGAGGGCACGAACGGCGCGAAGTCATCCCGATGCTGGTCCATGTACTGGACACAGCTCGAGCGGAGTTCCAGATGGCGCCGATCGTGTTTGTCGAGGAGCATGCCCCAACTCGGTTGACCAGGAACTGGCTAGCGTTCATGACCTCTCCTAATGCCTACTACTACTACTACTGCTACTACTACTACTCCTACTACTACTACTACAACTACCATAGTACGTAGTAAGAGTAGGAGGAGTGGAAGGAGTAGGAGACAAAGAATAAGAACTGAAAGCCGCAACTCTAACCTGACATAAGCTATATTGCAGCAAGGCAACAAATTGTATATGTCGTGGAAAACAACCCAAAACCCAAATACTCGCATTGTTAAAACACATTAACTGCACTTGAAAAGATGCACGTGTCACTTTTGCATTCTACTTTTCGAGCGTTATGGACGATGATCAAGAATAGCGTGGATAAGGACTTGAAAGCGTACGATGAGAAGTGCACGAATAGCTGGATATCAGCGGAAGAAGATCAACCGGAACGCATGAGGATTAGATTGCGGGCGGCTCAGAAGGTTGGACGTGCACTGGAGGACACAACGAAACTAAATCTTGAAATCAGCATTCCAGGATGGACAACGAAAACAGTTCAATGACGATGAATACGAAACTCATCCGCATCAATGTTTGCTGCAGTTCATGCCCATATGCCAAGCCCCACATACGATGCAGACTAAGAACCGTGAATGTGTGGTCTTAGGACTTAGGATAACAAGTGGACAAATGAACACCCCCGCAGAGGTAGATCTTGTCCTAGCTAGTTTCAACACCAGATTCCTTCAACAACTCCAACAGGAATGAAACAACCATATCTATCGTAAGCCCACATCCCCCATACAAGATCCCAGTGACCAACAGCAGCAAAACAGAGACTTATTGACGGAATTTTGCTCGTCACACGAAATGATACCTGCAAACACTTGGCTTGAGAAACCCACGCATCCCCTTGCTATCTACAGAAGTATAAACACTGAAAAGTTCAGTCGAACAGAGAGACTACTAACATACATGCTCAGAAAAGATCACATACTCAACCATAACACATGGAAAAGCTCAGTCTCCAATAGCTCAAATGCAAAAGGAAACAATCCGATGTGCTTCTGATTGCCAGCATGCATGTCAAGCTGTCCAGAAAAAGATAACCTATGCACCGGTACACAGACATACAGGAGCCCCATGCAAAATCAACAACAAGCTTAGGACGTTTGTCGAACGCGAAATAGAGGAACAAGGACAAATTGACAACTGATACTCTCGCAGACATCCTTGGTGAAGCAGCAGATAAATACCTCACGCCTATTCCGTCGAACCGAAGACATCCTGTCTTTGCGAAGCTACTCGGCACCTAATTGAAGCAAACACGATGCGGCTGTAAATGACGATCACGTCCCTGTAAAGCCCGCGATTTAACCAGAAACAACCATTCGTTGGCAGGCAAGAAAGACAAATAACAGTCACAACTACCGGGATCAGAAGAAATGACACAAGAGGCCTATAAGCGGGATGGCCTGAACAGAGAAGCCTTCCGACCCAAACGGTACAAGTTTAAAGGTGGGCTAAACCGAGCGAGAACGAACTTGACCGTGAAAAAGAGGCATCACCTCTCTTGAAGGAACTAGCAACATGATGGGACAATCCCTTCACTTTAATCGAGCTTGCGAAGGTACTTGATGCGCAAAAGAACAACAAAACTCCACGACCAGACGGACGCAACGCAGAACTGGTAAAAGTGAAGTGTGGTGCAATTTCAAAGCCAACCTAGTTGCTATAGATAAGAGAGGAGACGCCTCCGAATGGAAAACTATGGACCAGCCGCTTTGTTGCAAGTCTTTAAACAGTGATTAGCAAGCATGTATAGGACTGGATAGTTGCATGCATTCATGGATCCAAAAGACACCAGATGGTTTTCGCCCCAGAAATCACAACACAAGAAGATGATTAAATTAGACTTGACCGATGGACCACATCCGAACATGCCACCCGTTTTATTGGATTGGGAAGGAGCTTTCGACAAAGTTAACCAAATCAAACGTTTACATATTTTTTGCGAGCTCAACATTCCGCCAAGCATGTCTCAGCTGATCTCTAACATGTGCCAAGAATCACAACTTAGGATTAAATTATACAATCAGGGCTCTCAATATGAATCGCAAGAATCGGGGATGTGGCAAGGATGCCCTCTCTCCGTTTTTCTTCACGCTACTAATGTCTGCAATGTTGAAAGACATTAGAACCAAAATTAAACACCCTGAAGCAAAAAAACAACCAATACCTGGAATAGTACTGGCTGAGGTTCTACATGCAGATGACACTACTTACGATTCTTTGGCACGTGTACTCAGACCATAAACAGACTGCAATCCAAGCTGAAAAGCAAGAGTAAAATCAAGAGCAATAGGAAAAGAGCAAGAGCGAAAACAGTAGCAAGCTCAAGAGCAGGAGTAAGAGCGAGATCCCTCAAAACTGACACTGGAGACAATCATACCGCCTGATGATGAGAAACACTTTCCGAGTTTTTATTTGGGGATTTGGGGGGGCCTCCGTTGAATATTGGGGGATTATGTGGATGGGTCCCACGCAAAACTTAAGCCACTTAGGAACGTTACTGCCCGACACGGTAGCCAACCACCGAGACGTCCGGAATCAAACTGCGGACGCTGGCGTCACATGCACTAGGCTCGACAAAGGTTGGAACAACGCTCCAAACAGCTTGACATAAAAGCAAAGAGTCGCTGAATCAATCTTGAAGGCAGTGTCTTATACAGACTTGAATGTATACCGCTCATGCGGTCAATTCTGGTGAAAAATCCGCCCACTTTTGTCGACCGCAGCTGCACGAATCAGATCTAGACGGAATGACCACCATCATTGCGTTGAACAGTTTTCCGTTACATGGATGAAAAGGAAGGTCAAGCTACTCGGACACATCTTGAGAACAGGTTCAACTGATCCTATGAAGCAAGTCATGTTCGATGCATGTACGAAGAGACCTAGATTGGAAAATGAAGGGCCGGGCAATCCAGTAGCATCCTGGCTCCACCGGACATTCAAGGACGCGTTTAGCGGAATATGCGGATGATACAGAAGTTGAACATCTCCAATGCGAGCAGCATTACGCTCAGGCAAGACAGGGAACATTTGCCGTTACATTACAAAAAAACTAATTAAGCACCTCCACCACCCAAGCCGCTGATGCAAGACTTATTACAAGCCATCACCGAATGACGTCACCGAATGCTCGTCATCGAATGCGCGGAGCAGCACGATGAGTTCGACGTAAGCTGCCAGCTGCAACTAGAAAGTTCCGTAAGGCAATCGAATCATGATACACACTGCGCGATTGAAGTCATTCCCCACATATTGACCCACAATCCTGGCAGAAACTGTTTCAAGTGTAGCTACCCTTGAGTTTCACCTTTCGCTGTTAAGCCTGCTAAGCTTCAGCAATCACGTATATTCACTCTTTCACTTGGCCAGGCATCCGAGCTCAGACTTTTAAGATCTGCACGTTGGCAAGTTGATAGTAGGTAGTAGGTGGTAGGTGGTGGGTGCTGGGTGGTGGGTGCTGCTTGCTGGGTGCTGGGTGGTGGGTCGGGGGGGGGGGGGGTGGGCCACTACTACTACTGCTCCTGCTGCTGCTGCTTCTACTACTACCACTACCACTACCACTACCACTACCACTACCACTACCACTACCACTACCACTACCACTACCACTACCACTACCAGTACCACTACCACTACCACTACTACTACCGCTACCACTACCACTACCACTACTACTACTACTACTAGTACTAGTACTAGTACTAGTACTAGTACTAGTACTAGTACTAGTACTAGTACTAGTACTAGTACTAGTACTACTACTACTACTACTACTACTACTACTACTACTACTACTACTACTACTATTACTACTACTACTTCTTCTGCTACAACCATTGTTACCACGACTACTGCTAGAAGGCCTGGCATTCTTAGCTGCCAGGGTAGCGTACACTGTCTGGCCCTGCAAGTCTCTTCCAAAACAAATACGATTAAGCTTCTGACACAATACTCACAGCTGGCATTGCATCCTGCCAGCATCTCCCCCAACGTCTCGAAAATCTTACATTCTGAGTTCCGTTTCCATTCGGGATAACTATGCCAACAGGCCACGAGCGAAACAAGCAGGCGCCGTCACCGTCCACAATGTGGAGGTTCAGGCCCCGCTGCTTCATGGCGCGAGTGTCCTGGCATGCATGCATATGGGGGCACGCGCGCACATACGTTGATGTTATTGTTGTTGCTGTCGTCGTCCTTGTCGCTGTCGTTGTGGTTGTGTTTGTGGTTGTTCTTGCTGTTGAAGTCGTCACTGTTGTTATTGTTGCTGCTGCTGTTGTTGTTGTTGTGGCTGTCGCTGTCGCTGTGGTTGTGGTTGCGGTTGTGGTTGTGGTTGGTGTGGTTGGTGTGGTTGTTGTTGTTGTTGTCGTTGTTGTCGTTGGTGTTGCTGTTGTTGTTGTTGTTGTCGTTGTCGTTGTTGCTGTTGTTGTTGTTGTTGGTGGTGTTGGTGTTGCTGTTGGTGGTGGTGGTGGTGGTGGTGGTGGTGGTGGTGGTGGCGGTGGTGGTGGTGGTGGTGTTGGTGTTGTTGGTGTTGTTGGTGTTGTTGGTGTTGTTGGTGTCGTTGGTGTCGTTGGTGTTGTTGTTGTTGTGGTGAATGTTGTTGTGAATGTTGTTGTGAATGTTGTTGTGAATGTTGTTGTTGTTGTTGTTGGTGGTGGTGGTGCTGCTGCTGTTGTTGTGGTTGTTGGTTGTTGGTTGTTGGCTGTTGGTTGTTATTTGTTGTTTGTTGTTTGTCGTTTGTTGTTTGTTGTTTGTTGTTTGTTGTTTGGTGCTTGTTGTTTGTTGTCTGCTGTTTGTTGTTTTTTGTTTGTTGTTTGTTGTTTGTTGTTTGCTGATTGTTGCTTGTTGCTTGCTGCTTGTTGTTTGTTGTTTGTTGTTTGTTGTTTGTTGTTTGTTGTTTGTTGTTTGTTGTTTGTTGTTTGTTGTTTGTTGTTTGTTGTTTGTGGTTGTTGTTGTCGTCGTCGTTGCGTGATTGTGGTGCGTTTGTGGTTGTGGTTGTTGCTATTGAAGCTGTTGTTCCTGTTGTTGTTGTTGTTGCTGTTGCTGTTGCTGTTGCTGTGGTTGTGGTTGTGGTGGTGGTGGTGGTGGTGATTGTCGTTCAGGTTCTGGTTGTTGGTGGTGTTGTTGAAGTCGTTGGTGTTGTTGTTGTTGTTGGTGGTGGTGGTGTCGTTACCGTTGTCGTTATAATTCTAGCTATCGTTACCGTTGCTGTTGCTGGTGATGGTGGTGGCGGTGGTGGTGGTGTAGCTGTCGTTGTCATAGTCAAGTCGTACTTGTGGTTGTAGTCGTATAGTCGTCGTAGCCGTCGTGGTCGCTGTAATCGTCGTGGTCGTCGCGTGGTCGTCGTCGTTGTCGTCGTGGTAGTAGTAGTAGTAGTAGTAGTATCAGTGGTAGTAGTAGTAGTAGTAGTAGCACTAGTAGTAGTAGTAGTACTAGTAGTAGTAGTAGTAGTAGTAGTGGTAGTAGTAGTAGTAGCAGCAGTCGTCGTCATCGTCGTGCAGTCCTGCTGGATGCACTCGACCCAGAGCTGCTCATCGCATGTGGGCTTGTGCACCTTGGATCACAGGCTTAGGGCTTAGGGTTAGGGTTTTCAGGCTTAGGGTTTGGTTTACTGTCTGGGGTTTGGCGTTTTTTGGCCTACAGATATATAGATATACCATATAATATGTGTATATATATATGTGTGTATATAAGGTGCACATAGACATATGTACATTTTATTCAGGTACATAATATATATATATATATATACATATACATATACATATACATATGCACCTTATACATATACGAGCATATGCAAATACGTAAAGATGTGTACATATACATATATATATATATGTATATATATATATATGTATATATATGCATATGTATATCTATATATCCATACAATACATATATATATATACACATATATATACATACACATACACATACACATACCCAAGCAAAGGATTAAAGTATATGGTACTCCAGAACCCAGCCCAACTAACGGTTTAGGTTTAGGGTTTAGGGTTTAGGGTTTAAGGTTTAACTTGAATTTCAACATGAGGCTTGGTGTGAAAACCGGCATGCGGGTTTGGTGAACTCCTGCTCCAGCCTCATTTCAACACACCGCCTCCTGAATCACCTTCCACCTGCTATGGTCAAGGTCCTGCGTGTATTCCCTAAGCCCTACCTATAGTCTCCATTGTAATTAGTTCCTTTTTTTGGTTAACCAGTTTTATGGTTAGGATCCTGTAATAGAGATTTTGCTTAACCAAAAAAAAAAGCACTACAATGGAGACTACAGGCAGAGTCTTCAAGCCAGCATGATGGGAGGCCAAAAGGGGGGTTTAAGATTCTTGGGGTAGGGATTCCTTAATTTATGAACCCTATTATGGGAACCCTCATCCCTACTAAACCCCCATAGGCTAAAACCCCTTTTGGCGTCCTATGACAGCACAAGCGCTAAGAATTGGAAGCCACATGACCCGCAGTCCTACGGTTTGACATGCCCGAGATCACCAGACCAAAACTCTATAAGCCCTGGACACGCATGCCGCCAAAGATCCGCAGCCCTCGGATGTCTCGAATGTCTGCCCACGGCGGCGCGGCAGGGTTTGGATTGCCCTGGAACCCCTGCCTGAGTCTGCCAGCGGTAGTAGTAATCGTCGTCGTAGTAGTCCCTAAGGCTCTATGTACCGAAATAGTATATACTTAGGCCTTAAAGTACCTATATGGGGACCCCTTTAAGGCTTAAGTATCTACTATAAAGGTACATGCCGCCTTTGGGAGTGGAGGAGGAGGAGGAGGAGGAGGAGCAGCAGCAGCAGAGGCAGCGGCAGCAGCAGGGCGAAAGGAGTAATAATGATAACTGTGCTCACGCTGCATTTGCCTTTGCTGTTAGCGTTGCTGCTATTGTTACCCTTAATATAGCTTTTATATACCCATTATATAGCCCACTATAGGGTAGGGGTCCCCATTAAGGGTCCCTACTTTTTGCTATTGTTGTTGTTGTTGTTGTTGTTGTTGCTGTTGTCGTTGTAGCCAATGTGGCTGACAGCAACCTGAAGTGCTGAATTGATGTGACTTGGCCCCGACCGGTGCGCACTGAAGAGGATCACCCAGCCCGAGACAGTGCAACGTTAAATCATTCTAGTGCCCGAAGAGATTCAGAACGCACAAACGAGTGTCCTGCTGGGCTGTTTGGTCGGCAAAGACAACCGACAACAAGGTAACAACATGCTTCCTAGACCCCGAAGTGCAGTACCTTAGCTTTCCGGTGCAAGCATACACATACACATACACATACATATGCATATGCATATACATATAAATACACATACATACATATATATATATGTATATTATATGCATCTAACCAGCAGCAACGGGGGAAACTTGCTACAAAGGCAATGTTGCTAAGGCCTGCTGTCTTCAAAGACTGCCGGGCAACAAACAAGCTTGCAAGTGGGTGCGGGCAAATAGCGGGGGGCGGCGTAAATCTAGAGCCCCACACCCTAAGTCATGAAGATGCTCAGGACCCTCCTGATGGAGGCTGCTTTAGATCCCAGTGCAAACGGTGACACACAGAGACAAATCGATGGACGACCCAGTCGCACTCTCACTCGAGGATAGGCTTTGACTCTATCAAAACCACGGGTGCCCAGGTTCTTCATAATGAAGGGTCCCTGAGAGGTTTGTAGACATGTAGCGAGGATCATCTCTGCAATTACAGGCAATCTAAACCCCCAACCTGCCTGGAGGGCAGCTGAGCGGTTGCATTCCTTGCGAAGTTCCTCTTCGAGAGCTGCCACCTCTTCAGGCTTAGAGACAAAGGTTGATGTTGAGGCTTCAAGCTAGACATTAGGGCCTCTAGGACTTATAGGGTTTCCGGTGTAGGGAGTTTAAAGACTCACGAAGATGCATCGGGTCTTGTGATACTTCAGGGTGTGGTCTTGAGGTGTCCTTCCTCTGCATCCCCGCTTCCGCCCGTGGAGAAGGGGCGAGAGATGTACATCTTCGCAATGCTTCTGCAGTACATGTTGCGATGTACGAAGGTATACCACAACACATCATCACGATAAGTCGTGACCGACCATATATAGCAGCTACATACACTATGTTTGATTGCATATGTCATATATGTTCGCCTGCAGCATACAGCTTTGAGCTGTGATGCCACCCTGGAAGACCCGTGCCTCTCGGCGACGCCGGGCTTCGGCAGCTTCGAGCTGCCTTTCGTAGTCCGCCTGTAGGCACCGAAGGGCCCCAAAACAGAATTAGTGGGTTTTGTTGAGGGTTTGGGTTCATTTAGGTTCAGAGGGTGGTTATAAGGGTTCACACGGCTTCAAAAGGGTTCGGTTGAGTTCGGACGAGGTTTGAGGTTGGTTGGGCGGAAAGTTGGAGGTGGCGAGCATCAGAGTTTGTCAAGTTTGGGCATCTTGTGGCTCGGGTAGCTACACTCCAAAAGTTCTTGAATGGGACAGCCCTTCTGGGAACCTGTGTGGGCTTCGGAAACCCGGTCTGCTTCTTCATGAAGCCTCCACGCCTTCCATGTATGTATAGAGGGATTGTGGAACATCGGATTTTCGAATGCAAGGAGCTCTCGGGGTTTGGAGGGACGTGGGGTGGCGGGGGTGCTTGATTTAAAATTTAGGAGCTTGCACAAGGCATTGCGAATTGCTGCAAGTCCCGGCTGCAACTGATGCAGGTCCAAACATCGAAGTACATCCTAAACATCACGGAATTGCAAGCCTTGATGACGTACTTCTTCCATTCTTTCATGAGGATACGCATCTGATCCGCATCCTGGCCCATAGCTTCGGGGACGACCGATGGCGAACCCCGAATCCAATGAATCCGACAACCCACAACCCTAAACCCCGTAAGGCACCGTGAGGGTCTTTGGTGTGGAGACCTGAAGCACCCAGAGCCTTGGAACTTGAATCGTTCTTGACACTTGGGGCTCCCTGAGCAGGAAGCTGCTTGTTGCGGTTTTTAATCGAATTCCTAGAGTCTTACAAGTTTAGAGGTGGGGTTAGAGGTTGGTGTCTGAAACCTAACATGATTTGGTCATAAATGGGCCCACGGCCCTGACGCTTTACATCAAGACTACAACCCAAGAGCCGAAAACCACAAGGTCATCTTTTGAAGATCTCTTCAGAACCTAAAGGTTTCAAGCTTGAGTATCAGCGAAACTTCTACACAGCCTTAAAGTAGGACTGTTCTAGTCTTGTAAGGCCCGCCTTTAAGAGCACCAAGTTGTGGCTACCCCGGACCTCCAAGCCCCGACCCTTGCTAAGCCTTGACATCTAATCCAGAATGCCTAGTTTTAAGGTCGAGCTTGAGTGTGAAAGAGACGGATCGGGGATTTGGGGGGTCAGCATGAAATGGTTGAACGCTTGGGCTAAGAAATCGGATTCTGACAGAACTCGGCAGGTAGCATAGGTCCAAAGACTTTGGGTGTTTTAGCATCAGGTTGGGATGGCAGTCCTGGAATGCGAGGGGTTGGCGAAATGTTCATAATCTGTGCAGCACGGGGATTGGGCTGCCACGTGAGATTCTGCGGCTGAAGCACCGTCGGGCGGGGCAAGGGTAGAGCTGGAGGGGGCACGGGATTTTGCCAACTCGCAGGAGGTGGAGGAACCGCATCAGCACTGGAGGAGCTCCAATAGGGATTGCGACAGGGCTACGCACTACGCTCAGTGCGACCAGCGATGCCTCTTTACGTGAAATCCCCAAGTGTTTAACGCAGGGCCGGAGAAACCCTCAATTTGCAGGTACTGGGCCTAGTGATGCGACAAACCTAAACTAAACCTCTAAGTCTGAGTTCTTTCCAGTGAAACGCAAAACGAAGCCAGTTATGGGGACCCTTCAACATCAGACGGACATCAGCGCGCCGAAACCGTTTATCAGTTTATCCATCAACGGTCCACAATGCACTTGATGCTTGAAAGCAAAAAGCGGGAACAGACCCAATCAAGACGACGGGTTCACCTGATGTTGTCTGGTGAGCTCCTCATACTTTCGCTGCCTGGGCGTGTTTTCTGGTGAGAGTTCGAAATAAATTTGCACAAATATCTGCAAGAGGCCATGTCCACTGTGGCATTCCCAGACCCATGCCACTTTCTCTGCATGCCTCTTTGGTCCCACCGGGCTTCCGGCCAGTCGCTCGAAGTGTTCTGAATTTCCTGAGCATCAGAGGATACTTGCAATCAGTCGACAAGCCCATGTGGTGCAAGTCTTCACGGGCTGCCTCTGCTTCCCTCTGGATCTGCAATCCCTGTTGGCGAACCTACATGAAGGGCGCCGGCAGTCGATGCCCCATTAGGTTCAAGGGTGCAAGCAGCATGAGAACTGATCGAGGGAAAGCCAGAAACGGACAAGAACCAGGCTGGACTTCGAAAACCGGCGAGCTTAGACTAAGGACAGTCCTCAAGGCTTTAGGCGTGAAGAAAAGCCTACGTCGATTCTCCAGGCGCAGATTGGGAACGTGCAAACCGGAATGTGGCACCGGGCACCTGCTCCAGTTCACGCTTCAACTCTTCCGTATCCTCTGCCAGGGATTCGACCAATCCATTCCGTAATCCCACGCTGCTCTCTGCAACAAGAGAGAACAGCATACAATTGATTGTGCATGGTGCAAAGATCCTTCTTCTCAGCAGCCAGCTGTGACAGCAGCCTCTGCAAGACTCTGCATGTCTCTGCCATGCTTCAAGAAACTCGTTGGGACAGGGTTGCGCTTGACCCACGACATGGACAATCCGGCAAGGTGTCATGGCTGAAACGCCACCAATCTCCACCCTAAGGTCAAGCAACTCTCAGAATCGTGCCTTGACAAATTCTCTTCCTGCGTTCGCCGCTTATCTTCGGATTGTCGAGCCTGCCAGGTCGGTTCCAACTAGCCTGTTCAACAGCCTTCCAAGAGCAATGATTGCACAGGTACCCCGAAACACACCAGTCCCTCGAACATGCGCAAAGTCATGGTCCAGAGTAACTTGATAAATCTGGCCGCCCACCCTAAACATCCCGAGACCATGAACACACATTGAATGTTAAAGGCATGCCCAAGCCTCCTGGTCTCGCTCGTCTAATTTCTTCTGCAGCAGCTTAACCTCCGCCTCCCTCGGCATGCGCTTCTTGTCCGATTGGTTGCGTCGGCAGATGATCTAGAATCTAGAGCACCTCTACAGGCCGAATCAGCGAGAACACAGCATCATTGCACCCGAATGTTGCCCCGCGGAGAAGACTGGCTTCCAACCAGCGCTTTCCGCTGCACGCAAGAAAACAAGCAACAACACATGGCAGAGGCGCTGGTTGTTTAAGGCTTCCCGGAGTTCCGTTTCTGCTTTGCTCTTTTCTTCCTTCAATTTCCTGACCGGCAGAGCAGGTGACAGTCGGGAGAGATGCGCTGAATAGCAGCTGATTCATGCCGGGAAGACACATGCAATCCTGAAAGTTTGAATGTCGAAGTAACACAGCTTTCAGGCAGCTTAGCTGAACCGGGGCTTAGCTGAAACAGGCTGACAAGCAGCGTGAGCGTGGTGACGTCTGCCGCCAAGGTATCCCGCTCGGCTTGAAGTGCGCGCAGCCTTTCAACTTCAACAGCTGCCTTCTTTGCTCGTAGCAGCCAGACCGCGCAGAAAGAAATAATGATGTGCAGAGCTACCGATTCACGTCCCAGCGGAGTCATTGGCCGACACTACAGCCCGCCTGCCGTTTGCCTCGTCGAGGGAGGCTCGGTCGCCTGCATTGCGAGCCTCGACAGAGGGTCGCCATTTCGTTATTCGAGCCTCTGCGGCCAGCATGGTTTTGCACGAAAACGGACCTTCTCGACTTTTGTCACATTCCTACCTGGGAGGTGTGCAAAAGCTGCCTCGACCAGACGAAGTTGTGTGTCTGTGTCCATGTCTACACCCGAAGTCCGGCCCACCATATCACGACTTACGCGCAGGAAATTTGGGGAGCATCAAACCCTTCGAGAAAGAAGTTCTTCAACACCTCCCAAAGTCATCACGAACAAGCCTGAATGACCACTTCAAAACACCCTCAGATCAAACGAGACATGGAGCAAATGTAGAGAAGACTGCGACAAGGCCTAAAGGCCTAGAGCACCTCGCTATGCAAGAAATTCCTCCTGCCTTGAGGCCATCCAGTTGGATCTTGGTTGACTCCTTGGCTGTTGACTGTGATGTGTTCGGTCTGTTCAAGCTGCCCAGCATTGTCATTCCCCGTGAATACGACGTGTCTGCTCTACCTTTGTCTCCTTAGCGCGTGACAGCGTCGCGAAGGGCCGTTTGGTGGTCGCCTGCTCTTTATCGCGGCAGAGCTGCACGACAGAAGCCGGTCGGAGCTCAAGCCGGAAGCATGACATTCGCGTGAGGTCTTCCGTAGCAAGCTGAGCCAACAACTGTGAACACGCTCTCGCCCTCGTCGCTCGTCATCCCGCTCCTGTGTAAGAGGGTTTCACCAAGAAACATACTTGGCATGAGAAAATCATACCCACGGAATATTCACTTCCTGCTGGAGCTTGCGGTGCTCGGCACGGAGCTTTTCAAGCTCCTGCAACAAGTCCTCACCGGGATAGGGCCAAGCATCTGTACTGCTGTGTCGACACGGAATTTGGTGGACCAGAAGCAGCACAACTCTTCATGCCGTGATTTGCACGATCGACTTCCGAATACAAAGCTGGGAGCCATCTAGCCGCAAACGTTCAGGCAGCCAAGCTCTTACATCAGATCGAGCCGGCCTGGTGTCTGCCTTCCCATTCTGCCTTGAGCTGCACATGCGAGTCCTCCACAAAGTTCGTGCTGACTGCTTACGCACCCTTGTCATGTCATTGACTTCAGTCAGGCCGAAAGCTATCTTCCTCGTACGCCCACATAACTACTTGAGCTCGCCTTGGTATGCTTCAGTTCGGCCTCGTGTGCAGCTCTGAGCTTCGCGTGGGCCTGAAGCCACAGGCGCTCTGTGTTGGGGAGGCAACTTGCTGTTACTTGCACCGCTCTGCTTGCCTCTTCGTGGTCTCGCGACGCATGGCCATGGAGCGCTTCCAGCCTACAAGTGATCCAAAGATCTGAAGACCGTGCTGCACCAGACCAACGTCCCAACAACTGTTCTAAGAAATGGGTTGGACATCACCGCACCTGTCCCTGTCCTGCTGGACCTTCAGATGCTGTGCCTGCAGCAACGAGAAGCCACCATGTAGAATAACCGCCAAGCACTCCTTGCACCCGCCTGAATCTCTTCTTTGTCACGCAGGACAGCCTCCACAGATGCAGTGAACTTCAATGCCATGTCCTCAACGTCTACTCCGGCAAGTCCGATCAGATGACAGCTTGAAAACAACCCCGGCCACCGTTGGCACGACATTCATGCCTGATGCTTTGCTTCCAGATCTGCTCTGGCACGAGCTTCAGACTCCTCGTTTCAATTCTCAGCCGCTGCCAGCCGCCGAGGGAACCAGAGGGGTCCTTGTCCAAGCGCAGCTTGGCCTGGTCAGCCTTCACCAGGTCCAGCTGCTTCAAGGCGGCCTGCTCGTGGACCCGTGGACCCGTGGACCCTGGGCCCTGCCTCCCCGGACTTCCATGCCAGCATCCTCAAGCATTAGATTCCCTCCAAGCTGCCTCGTGTTTTCGTGCATACTCCTCTTTGGCTGTAGTCTCTGCATCCTGAGAGGAGGCACAACGACGTCGGAGGAGATGCAGCGCGCAGTCAATGCGGAACGGCCTTGTCTCGTTGAAGGGAGTGCATGTCCGAAGACATCTTCTCTCTTTCTTGCAGAACTTCCACATGCTTCCTCTCTGCCTGCCGCATCTTTGACATTGACAGCACTGCACAGCCGCCGGAAAACCCTACGATACCTGCCCGAATATGCCCGACTACTGTCTGCTGAGCATGGCCTCTTGCCGCGCTTGTCTCTCAGCAGCATGGTCTGCCTCGAACATGCCGAGTGACAGAATAGCAACTCTGTCATCGTGGGTATGCCGCTCAGCGATAATTGCAAAAGGAACACGCCCAGCTTCTGCTTGTCTGCCGTCAGCTTCTGCATATCCTGAAGAACTGAAGCATGTCGCCGCTCGGCCTGGCTCTTGGGTCATGCATTCAGAATCCATTGATAAGACTCCAAGGCTGCAACCACCGAGAGCAAGACCACAAAACCAACACGGCTAAGGCAAAACAAGCCAACTCCAGGGCATCGGGCTTAGTCCTCAACGAAGCATGTCGAAGTTCAATACCAACGACATGCAGGCTGGCAGTGGCTGGCGGACACACCTAGAATCTAAAACCAAGATGCTGGCACGATTGGAACATGGATGTCCTATCTTGCGTCGTCGTGGTGATCAGCCCGCCCCCTCCGCTCCACCACCGTCCCCACCGGTCAACAGCAACTGAGTCATGCATTCGACATGCAAACGAATATAGTAGTGGATTGTGCGGTGCATCACTTCTACAGTCAATGGGGAGAGTGGCTTCCTAAACCGCCAGACTCCTCACGTGCCCTGTGGTGGTGCTTTGGAAGTTCGATGGTGTCTGTGAGATGGCCTCGGCTTTGGCCTGGCTTTCAGCTTCTTTGTCGGACTGCAGACGCTGTTGATCTTCACCTGCCATCATCACACGTTGCTATGCAACCAAGGAGGATAAAGAGTCCACCGTTCATGACAATATTGACAAGAAAAGTATCAGTTGCAAGAACTGTGGCACGATGGCCCAGCAGGTACATGGCCCTCAATCACATGTAGCAGCACCCATCAGATTTCAAATCTCCGACGGAGTGTGCAAGGAAGCATCTCTCAAGCATGGTGGCAGAGCGTAACTTCTGCATATCTCGTGCAAGCTCTTCGTGCTTTTGTTCAGCCTGGCAGTGCGCGTCTGCAAGCATGGAGTGCGTAGCGTTGGGGTACGAGTCCCTAGGAGGAAAGTTGATCATTCTCTGACGTTTCAACATTTGCGGCCAGCTGCAGGTCACAAGCAGACCAGGAGCACACTGGTCGCCATCACTCGGAAGCTGAACCATCTCTCAGCCAATGAACACTTGCTGCGCATCAACTGCACCTGAATTTTGCTAACGGGATAATCGCCTTCAACTACTGTCTGAGCGGTCCACGAGAGCACTGAGGTTTTCCGGAGACGCTGCTTGCATGTATGCCCTCAAATTCAATTCTCTGAGCCTCTGAACCCGTGCAATCGGGAAGCATTGGCAAAAATATTTGCAAATCTCAACTAACCACGGCCTGCGCTCTTAGCTGAGCTTCGCGGGCCTGACCAATGAACGCAAGCAGGCGTGAGCTTCTGGGATATCTTCTTAGCACCGGGGACCTGTATTCTCCCGCTACCCGACAGAAACAATGTGGAGAGTTGGACGCAGCTGCTCATGCAGACACTCGCAAGCCACAGTTCCTTGACGCGGCGACGACAAGTTTGGGGAGTGAACCCTCCGAGAAGCCTATTTGAAACCATGGGCTTGGTGTTGCGGCTGCGTGAGCTTGGGGAGAGCTCAGGGTCCTTTAACAGAGAAGGCCAAGGTAGAGACGGTAGAGACTCAAGATCCAGAGATTCGAAGCTCCGGAGCCTGGTCTGCTTGCATCTTGGCCTGATCCTGGGCCATCTTCCTTGCAAGAGACTACGGCGTCTGAAAATCAACTTCCAGGACTACGACACTGCTGCACCTTGGCAGATACGTTCGTTGATCCCCAGTAGGTCGGTTCTCGACTTTGCCATGGCTAACACATTCTACCCCTCGCTTTCTGCACTTTACCGATGTCTCACTTGTGTCTGTTGCCACGGCGGCCGAATCACAAGCAACGATGTAAGCGACTGGTGCAGAAATCATTGATGTTTGCACGTCTCACCTACACATACCAACGCACTGACCTTTCCCTTCTGCAATGATGCCATCGTTTTGCTAGCATCCGCACAAAAACAGGCACTCTCGCAACCTCGTGAATTCCGCAAACAACCTGAAATTCCACTCCACGCGCATCGCCGCTGGTCGTTCACGAAAGTGTGGAGAAGCGCTGCTGAAATGGAAAGCAACTTCAGTCACGCGTCAGTGGGACGTTCGTGTGGCGAAGGCCTTGTTGTTTGTACTCGTCACAGTGGTAACTAGCAAGGTCTTTTCATCATTTCTCTTCTCTGTCTCTCTCTTGCTTGCTTGCTTCCAACTCGTTTGGTACTAGAGCACTTGGCCCTCCCTCCCTGCGCACAGCGCTGCGCCGTTGTCCAAGTCTGGTCTGTTGCGAGTCTCTCTCTCTAAGGCAGCTCTGATAACTCTCTTGTAAGACGTGCCGGGCGGGCTGTTTGTCGCCTTCCACCTCGGTTGTTTCTATCTAGACAGGAACAGCACATGCAGACGTACTGCGACACGCTTGGATCTGCGTTTTAAGCTGCCGGCCGCTGCGTGGCGCTGCTGCATCTCTTCCTTGGCCCGCCTCTCGGCCTCCAAAAGCTCCTGGCTCAAGCAAGCTGCCTGCGGATGTCTGCGGTATCTGCGGTGCGCAACAAACGTGTCATTTATGTCCAGACACCTTCTCTCGCAGCACCTCCTGAGAAGATACCCGAGTACTCTCACCATGCCAGGCCACGGCGGCCAAAACCATGAAGCAGCTCAAACCGCTCTCGCATTCACCATCACCGCAGATGTCCCCCCCCCCTGCCTGATGGAGTCGCTGCACCTGCTTGCGGGCTGGAAACAGAAAAGCCGTAAACTGGCAACACCTGGGGGCATGAGGGAAAGGCAATTGTGGCTGCGTTCTTGATCCACATTCCGAGACTTGCAGTTTACCTGATCGAAAAGTTGAAAGCTAACCACACACACACACACCATCCGTCACGCTTGCAGACAACCATTCGGAGCCTGCTACACGGTTCAGGGTTTGGGTTCGGGAGTTCAATGTTTAAACGTAGGTGCCCAAGCCCGTTCGTGCATGCTATTTTCGCACTGATACACTTGCTGTTGCCGATTTGCCTATGTCTATCTCCCTCCGTCTACATGTCTCTTTATATGCACATCCATGATTCTAGAAGAATTGCATGCAGCCTCCAAACGGTCTGTTGATCTTCATTCACGCTCCACAGGGGGCTTTAGGTGATGCGACAAGCGCCAAGACCCACACCCAAGTCAAAGGGAAGTCTGAGCAGTCAATGGTTGATTGGGAGTTCGAGCCTCCAAAACCCACAAACCATCGGAGAAGCTTGACGGACTTGCATGGGAACCAGTGCAAATGCACTCATGGCTCGTACTACCCGAAGGCACGGGCGGGAAGATGAAGATGACTTGACAGCATTTTCCACATCAGCATTAAAGACGCTGCCTTCCTCCGCATCACGCCCAAGAAGCTTGGATGATTACGGGCGAAGGATGCCTAGCCGACCAGCCTTGGAACTCCCCATGTTTTACGTTTTACTTGAACCTTGAAGCGAAACCCCCCAATCCTGCACTCAGCTTCGCCAAGCGAGCCCACAACCCTCACACAGTATGGATTCAGGGTTTTGGGTTGATCGCTGCATACCGAAAGCTTACCCGAAGGTTATCGAAAATTTGGAACCGAAACGCAAATCTCTGACGGACAACTCCGTGAACACGCGTGAGTCGCTGCCCGGCCACCTGCAGAAGTCGGTCATTCTCGATCCGTGCCTCGAGTTCAAAGCTGTTCGGACTCAGGGTTTAGGATGGCAAGGATTCCTGGCTCTTTTGTAGACCTACCAGAGAAGAGAGGAACGAGCCCCCCAGTTTTCACTCTCTGAAGAGATAATGGTGATGGAGCGGATTGTTCGCTCCTATACTTTCCACGACTGAGTATGGCTGTAAACTCTGTGGCCAATACTTGTTCTCTCCTGCAGTGTCGTGGCTATTTCTTGGACTTTCATGACTGAATACCCCTAGTAGTTACTTGTCTGACGGCAAGGGCTGCGAAAACCCTGTTCATTATCTCCACCGCCTCCAACACCACGATGACCAGTGGCAAGAAAGATGTTGTGATGACGTCGAATACCCTCCAAAGCCAAAATGCCAACAACAGCTTGGACAAGCAGCAGCAACAGTACACGTAGTATGGACCTGCACATTGCCGACAACAAGGATAGATGACACATGGATATGCACGGGTTCGCTGCGTGGGGCCTGAGCAGCACCGACAAGACATGAAGAAGCCGAATAGCAACACCACAATACAATCCTGGCTGATGAGAACACGATTAGCCCTACGCAAACTTGACACCGGCAACGCACACTCACAAGATCATGCAGGAAAAAGCTTAAACCCTCGAAGCACTGAAGCCCATCGCCTTGGCCAACTCGTCGCGCCAGCGCGACGCCTGGGGTTCATTGTAGTTCCTTTTCGGGATTACCTTATAGGATCGTAAAGAACTACACTGCAGCCCATAGGTAGGTAACCAGGGAACCAGTATCAGATCCCATGAGGCCTCCAGATGTGGATGCTACCAGTATGGATTGCTTTAAGTATCTTCTGGGTTGCAGGGGTTGAAGTTTGATCCCTGGCTCCTGCGCACCCCCAAACCAGGGCATCCAGGGATTCTAACAGCCGATGGATCTAGGTTTAGGGTTTAGGACCTAGGAGTCAATAGGGTTTTGAGCGTTTAGTGCAGGGTCTCAAGGTCTAAGGTTCATACAGGGTCTTGAAGGTGTCTAGGGCCATAACCACCGAGACTTGAGTGTCGGCTTTGGCTGTTTCTGGTGCTTTGCGCCGGGACAGAAATGTTGGCTCTTGGGCGACAAAAAGCACTATGAGTGCTTTCCAAAGAATTAAACAAACTCTTCTGCTCATGTGTAGGTGTAGGGTTTAAGGCCTTGCGGGCAATCGGAACCGCCTGCACACTCGCCGGATCCTACGATAGGATCTCTGCGAAACCAGGGTTGTACTGAAGTCAAAAACTCTAGAACCTAAATTCGAAACCAAACCCAGACGAGCTACGGGAGCAAACCTCAGCCCCGAAAGCCCCTCAAAATCGAGCTCCTTAAGGCTTCAAATTTAAACCTTTAACCGTGAATTCGTTGCTCTACGCCTCCGGTAGATCTCCGTTGTGCAATACTAGGCCCATATCTACCCCATCGAAGTCTTGGAACTGCAATAGTGATAGCCAAGTGTCGAGAAGGTTGGGATACCTTGTGACCAAGACTTTCCAGGGTTGAGGGCCGGTTTTAGGGTTTCGGACGGCTTTAGGCTTTCGGGCGCTTGGAGGCAGGGGGTGTAGCACGACACTTTAGGGCCGAGTGGTGCAAACTTGGAGTGCGCCAAGGCTACATCGAGTAGACTTTGGTAGTGTTGTACCGTACAGTAGCAACAAACATAGTTTCCTTACGCTGCTGGGGGTTGTTCGAGTGTTTGGCAAAGGCGTGGCATTCATGTTTGCCTGTGTTCAAGCTGTGTACTCGGGTGCCCAGCTCGTTCGGACAAAGCTAGGTGTTGCCATGAGTCTCTGGCACAGTCCAAAATGCAGACTCTCGCCCAAGAGAAGTCGTTCACAACACACATGATTTTGCCCATTTCCCAAGATTGCCAAACGATCAGCAGCAATGTCAGGACAGGCTTGAAGTGCTGAAGCCCTACCTTGCTGTCAGATCAAGCCAGCATGCAAGACGAGTGCCTAGAGCCACGGTTAAGGGTTTTAGGAGTTCAGGGGTTGGGGTTTAGGGTCCAAGGTTTCGAAACTTAAGCCGCAGTTCTGAGAAGCGACGTGCAGCCATTTCCCTCCTCCTTTCCATTCTTTCCTTCGCCCTCTTTGCCTTTTCCAGTCTTTCCCTTTCCATCGCCTTTGCCTTCACCAGGCATCAGTCCAACACGTGGCTTGGTGCTCCCGTGTCCCGGGGTGCGGGTGGTGGAGTTCATGTGAGGATCTTGTGACGGGTCTACATCAGTTGCCCAATTGGGTGCGAAAACAAGCACAGTCGCACACATCACGACCACTATAGGCAATGTCAAGGCATGGCCAGCATCAGGTTGCTTATCATGTCGAGAAGCCGAAGGATACACTCTAAATGGGTGATCATGCATATTCGCTAATTCTCAACTGGGCCTGAGTGATGTGTGTGGTCTCAATTCTGCGTTGCCTTAGGGTAGTGGTGTTAAGTTTACAACGCGATGTTTCGGAGATTGCCACGAGTGCTTGGGTGCGGCTCGATCTGGAACACTTCCGAAGCACCTGCGCTAAGCCCAAGATAAGCCGAACTGCCGGCAACTCGAAGACAAGTGGCGGCCCTTAACTCCTAAGCTTACTTACATCCTAGGCCCCACGCCGAACCGTCCTCCTGGAATGAAACTATGGAGCTTTAGTCCATGAACGTCTAGGCTTTAGGCGACTGAGGGTTTAAGTTTTGAGCTCAGTGCTGGCTTAGAGCTTAGCTTTTGAGGTTGAGTTCGCCGATTCTCCCAGCGAGGCCTGAATGGCAGCGGGAAGGAGCCTCAAGATTTCGGGGTTTACCTACAGTCTTCATTGTAGTTGCGTTTGTGGGTTACCTTCTAAGGACCTAACCCAATTGCAGAACAAGTTAAACCAACAATGAGGAACTAGAATGGAGACTGTAGGTAGGGTTTAGGGGTAAATTAGGTTCAGGCCCAAATGTCGAGGCCTTTGGCATTGCCTGTGGAAGGTGCTTCCAGCTCACCCTCTTCGGTGGAAGCATCCCACCTAGGTAGACACCAAAGTTTGTTTTTGGGGGTTGAGGGTATCAAGGTTTCGGTAGCAGGGTACTAGCATTTTTGGGGTACGTAGCGGGCATTACGGCACTAATCCTAATGCATTGCGATTCATGGTTTACGACATAGGATTTAGGCATTGGTGCCAAGGAGTTTAGGCCTTGCGCACATGCTTCCCTAAACCCTAAACCGTAAACTGAAACTCAGATTTCCGAGTTTTGGGGGCTGTGCGATTTGGGCTTTCAAGGACTCCTCGACCGGGCTTCGTGTCGCGCTCCAGACTGCTTAAGAGTTTGAGGTTGGGGTTTACCAATAGTCTCCATTGTAGTTCCTGCTTTGGTTAACCAATTTGATGGCCGGGATGCAAAAATGTAAACTTGGTTAACCAAACACAGGGACTACAATGGACACTGTAGGGTTTAGGATATAAGGCATGAGTTTCTGCCTTTTCCGATCGTTCGCGGGGTTCGTAGCGTCTTAAACTAACATGATTGATGCTAACTTAGGACCTCGGAAATGCCTTGCGGATCCTGTCTTGGGCCTTTGGGAGCCTCTCCTGCCTCCCCCAGATCGACAGATCGGGCACAGAAATGCTTGTAACCTATTTCCGGTGATCTGCACCTGAAGGGGCTTCCTGGGAAATTGCTGAGATTGTGTAGCTTCGGGATTTACCTGTAGTCTCCATTGTAATTACTTTTTTGGGCTACCTTATAAAATCCTCAGCATAAATATGGTTAAGCCAATAAAGGAACTGCAATGGAGAGTATAGGTAAATTTAATCTAAGCCAAGCCAGAGTTCCAAGTAGGTGAGCGGCAAAACACAGGCCTATGTACGGTATCACGGAAACCCTGCGCCAAAGTCCCAAGTTAGCGGTATTTTCTGGGTATAGCACTTGTTCGAGTAATGGTAAAAAAGGTTCGATAACCTTTTGAACGAAGGAAAGACAGATGCTGGATGATGGGTGAAGGGTGATGATGGTGGCTATGATCTTTATTGCCACTATAATAATGATGACAACTATATAATGAGGTTGTGGGACTTGATTGGGGGCATGTCCGGGCACCAGGCTCTTTCTGTGCGATGGTCGCATCTCCTTTCTTACCTTTGCCGCCCTTCCTTCCAGGGCCAAGGAGCAACATAATTGCAGCCTTCTGGGCTCCACGTTTTGATTCGGCTCTAAACGGTAAACCGGGAAACCCAACCCTTGGCTCTGACCCCCTGGACCTTTAGCCGTAAAGCCTAGCTGGGCACTTGTGAACTCTGACCTCTTTGGCTCATACGTAGTTCAAAACGTTTAGGTTTGCGGCAAGCTCAGGTTAATGGGAGCTCTCTATATATCAGTTCTGGAGCACCTTGAGCAAGACCCCACATCACTGTGTGGCTCATGAAGCTCTTCAGACCATGTAGGCTCCAACCACACGAGACCGAACTCACCACCGTCGAACAGAGCGAACACCCTGGATCCTAAGCACTACATCCGTAAACCGATATCGTAGTGACGGAGGTCCCAGGCCAACACAAACTAACCGCTTGGATGCTTGTTGTGTTGGAGTTTTTTCGTCCCAGCTATGTTCAAGGCAAACTCCTCGACTCTGTGACTTAGCCAGTCTCAAGCGGTGACTTCTACCATGTGGGCAAAGCTTTTTCTCAATGTAGGCAAGGGTCCGAGCTGTTTGAACAGGGTTTTGGGGTATAGGCACCTAGAATGATGAATACGAAACATGCGGGTATGGTACTACCGCTTATTACGGCGCCTTCATTTGTTGTTCGGGGTTTCCGCTTCGGGGATTTCGGTGTTAGGGCTGTTCCAGGAAGTCAAGGGCTTAAGTTTGCTGAAGACTTTTTTGGTTAGCACTTGCTCCCTAAACCCCTAAACCCCAAGAAGCCCACAGATTTTAAGTTCCCTGAGCCTTGCCTTCTGAATCTTACTCAAGGTTTCGTCCGTTCTTATGCCTTGAATCCCCGTTTTACATGATGCAGATACTGATCTGCTGACCCTGCCTGGCTCGGAACTACACCCTAACCCTACCCCTAAACCCATCTACTCAGACCTAGGAGAGTAACACTTTGCTGGGATATCCTAGCTTACATCTAGAATCCGAAAATATGACAAACCCTAAACCCCAAACCCAACAAACCCTTGACACTGGTATGAAACAAAGCAGACCGTGAGGGTCCACGTACCCAAACGCATCTACTTTGGCCCCAAAGTACCTATATATGGCCGACTTTAAGGCCCAAGTATATACTATTTGGGCACAAGGGCCTCTAGTGAGGTTGCTTTACAACCGAAGTCGTTGGCTCAAGGCCATTTTCTTCTATGCAGCCAAGGAGCCCAGCAGGCTTTCCCTTTCCTTTCTCGCCTACACAGGGCAAGGGCTGAGAGCCTGTGGGAGTTTTGGAGTTTACGGGTTGGGGATCGCTGTTGCAGGGCTTTCTTGTTGAAGGGTGTAGGGTCCGCCGTGTTGGATGGGTTTCGATGGGTTTGGAGGTGTTAACCTCCCTTTTTCCCTCCTCCCACACCAAAATCCCGCGCACCAGGCGCCCCCGGGGGGGGGGGGCCCCCCGTGTGATGGACACTTGAGGGCTATGCGACAGCAGTCGTTGTACTGTGCTTACTGAAACGCAACAAAAACACACGTCAAATAGACGCTGAAATTTGCACCATCTACTGCGCAGAGCGCTCACATACAGCGCGCCAGCGCAAAGGCATGCAAAACAAATTCGAGAGGGATGGAGCGCTGCGGCGCTGGAGCATGCCTTGCTGGAGCGCTGGGGCGTTGGAGTAAGAGCACTATATAGGGGACAGGCCGCTGCAGCGCTGGAGCGCTGAGCCGCTGGAGCGCTGGGGCGCTGGAGCGCTGGGGCGCTGGAGCGCTGCAGTGGTGGGGCGCTGGGGCGCTGGGGCGCTGGGGATGGAGCGCTGGAGCGCTGGGCGCTGGGGCGCTGGGGCGCTGCCCAGAGAACCCAATAGTCCATTCAGGAAAGCGCCTTTAAACATTCATCTTTAATTAGAGTTTATAGTCCTTAAATTCATAGGCCTTAATTAAGGTCTGTTACCTTCCTTAATTAAGGTTCATTATTTCTATATATATTTTATATACACATATACATATTTTCTTCTTTTTGCACATGCATGCATGCATGCACACAGGAGAGTTATTGTATGCTCTCCTATATATACGCATGTCCACACATGCATCATGCATGCATTGCAAAATTTTTGTTGCCATGTTTTGGGATGCATGCACTGCATGAGACGGACTTGAATGCACGTTCGACACATTAGATTTATGTGTTGTCTTTTTTTTTTCGGCTCAAGCTCCGGGCACGTCTACGGAAAGGTCACAAGAAGACCACCGGACAGAGTTTTTGCCCTTGCAAGCATGGTTGCAGAGGAGATAGTGCTGCATTGCTCTGCTGGAAGTTTGCTATTATTCTGCGACTTGCATGTATACAGGATCGCTCAAGATCGAGATCGCCACGGCCTGTTCGCTTGGAATGGCGATGGTGTTGGAAAAGCTTTTGGCTCGGAGAGACGCAGCGACTTTCATGCAGACGGTTTTAATCGACATGCACGTGTTGAAACATGTTTTATTGTTTGCGATCGATTTAATGCAAGGATTTGGTACTGGATATGGTGGAGGCATCCCCGTGATTGAGCCTGCAACACCGGTGCAACCTAGATAATTCGGTTTTCCATGCATGGGGGCCAGCGAGCTACACCCACGGACTCTTGAATATGTGCAGCAGGTCGATCCTGAAGGGATCGAACTTGCAACCATGGAAGCAAAACGAAGGTGCAAGATCGCGAGTGCATGCTTGAACTGGGTATATATATGTTTTGTTGCACGCCTGCAATTTTTTTGTTTCGTTTGTTTGAGCATGCTTTAACCTAGCTTTTTCGGCTCAAGCAAGCTGCTTGTATAACTCGATCGATCAATCGATCCTCCTTTTCCTTCAGGAGGACTAGTCATGATGTCGAAGCCAACCGCCAGCCCTAGCAAGCCCCGGGCTCGGAACACCGCCACCGATGAGCAGGTAAAGAAGATTCTCAGGAGCAACCTCAGCAACCTGGGCACGGCTTACAAAGAGACGGACATGGAGCTGATCGTGGCAGGCTATGAATCCTTCATAGTCGATTTTCTCAAGGTCTCACCAAGGCTGGTAGCGAAGCAGCTCAGCCGTTGTGCGGCAAAGGTCTTTGAAAAAGAATCCCCGGCGGACGTTGATATGTTCGCCCGCCAAGTTGCGTATTCGCTGAGCTATGTTCGCATCAAAATGAAAGCCGTGACGTCTGGCAAGAAGACTCACCCGGCTATCAAGCGGGTCTGCGAGTGCTTGCAGAAGCTAGATGCAGATGAGCTTCAGCAGGATCGCCTGAGTTCGCTTCGCAAGAGAGTGCATAGCCCAGACAGGTCTGCGGGCGGCATGCACATGTGGAAAGGGTGTGCGAATATAAAGGCGAAGGCCAGTCCTGGCAAGAGGCACAAGTCTCAGTCGTCTCGAGATCCTAGGCCAAGCAAGACAGGCACGACTTCGACTTCGGCATCCACGTCTGCAGACATCTATGCCATGTACGGTATCTCCCGTGGTGCTGAGGAAGCCTTGTCGAAGACGGCTCCTGCATCGCCCGCAATCTCGATCGCTAGCTGCAATACAATTCACAGCTCCGATGGCCAGCCTGCGGAGGATCTCGAGACCGCACCCGCAGAGGAGGCTTCCGGATCCTCGGGGATCACATTGCAGTACTTTTGCAAGGCCTCCTGCAAGTACATCACTCGGATGGCGGACGGCACAGAAAAGCGGCATGCTGTGTTCAAAGGACCTGAAGGATTTCTCAAGACCAAGGTCTTCGGCAAGCTCAAGGACCTGGATGTGCCCAACTTGTTCCTGCAGACCTTCGAGAATGCAGCAGGCCGTGGTGGCATCTCCAAGATCATGAAGCGGCCAGCCGCTAAGAAAACGGCTAAGAAGGCTCCTGCTAAGAAGGCTCCTGCTTCTGCCGGGTCTGCATCTGCAGATGGCGAGGCCGAGGAGCCCGAAGAGCCCGAGGAGCCTGAGCTGTCCACACCCCCGCCCAAGAAGCCAGCGACTCCGAAGTCCAAGTACTCGCCGAAGCCATCCCCGAAGTCCGCAGCGAATCCATCCCCGAAGGCCGCAGCTACCCAGGCTGGCAGTCCGAACAGGGACAGTCTCATGTGTGCCTCCGTCCACTACATCATGGCTTCCGATCGCACTTACATCACCGGCAAGTTCGGTCCAACCAAGGCCTTGCTCATCGAGATCCACTCAAGGAAGTCCGACAAGCATCGGGATCTGGTCAAGGAGCTTTTCCTCGAGGCTGAGCGGCTTCATTCGACTACCCCCTGGGGTGAGCTTCGTGAGCTGATGCGGAACCGCCGTGAGGAGGTCCTCCAGCGGCAGGCTGAGTGATAGCTTGATCGAGGGATGCCAGGGCCCAGCCCGGTTTTGCGGAGATCGATGCAGCTTTGGGCAGGTTTTGAGGTTGATCTTGCCATCGGTTTGAAACAAGTGTGTGTGTGTGTGCACGTGTTTGCATGTCTGTGTGTGTTTTTTGTGTACATGTGCATGTGCATGTTGGCAATTTTGGCATGCAGAGGAATGCTTTGCGAGGCTCCTTGCATGATTTCTGGCACGAGTTAAGCATATATACATAATATGTAGCTATATATATATATATATACATAGAAATTTGTCCTGCAGCCCTTTTCATGTGTCCAACCTTGCCCTCAGGCCCGGCTTGCTGTTTTCTTCTTAGCTATGCATGCATCGACCTTTAAAAATTTTTGTCGCATGAAACTCCTTGCAGGTGATGGGGCCCATCGAGATGATCTTCGAGGTTTATCTGCATGGCATGCACGAGGACTGCCAGTGCTTAATGTTTGCATCTGCATGTTTTCGAAGAGCTAGGCATGCAGGAGTGGCAGTGCTTGAATGTTCGTGTCTCCTTTGAATAGGAAGGCATGAGCACAGCATGCGAGCCTCCTGAGATCGCGGCTCGAGCGACAAAAGAAGTTCGATCCAATATCTTCTTGTGCGAACAAGCATGGGTGCCGCCCAGTCGACAACGGGTAACAACAACCCGGCGAGCTCTGGCAACACCAATAACACCCCAGCCCCCATCGTGATCCAGCTACAGCTGGGAGCAGAGCAACTCTCCGCACTCACCGGAGCTGTTGCCCCAGGGGTTCACGTGCATGTGCCCCCCAGTGGGTCGGATGCAGCAGGCGGAGCTAGCACGACTCCAGGAGCTGCCCCCCATGGTGCTCCTCCGGTACCGTTTCCGCCTCCCCCGCCTCCAGCGGAAACTGAGCAGTATCTCAGGTGGTGCAACCGCTGCAAGCAGCAGAGCTACTTCAGGGAGGGCATCTGCCTGAACGAATGGTGCTCCGTGCCTTGGCTGCATTATTCTTTTTCTAAACCTTCGACTACTAAACCCTGCAGCCCTTATAAATCAACCTTTAAACCACCAATCACAAACCCCTAAGCCCCTAAACCATGAGATCTAATTTGAAGATAGGAGGCCGGCCTTTCGGGGGCTGCCTCCTTAAGTTCGTTGCTTTTGTTCCATGGACAAGATGCTAGCTAAGTTGGCTTGGTCGCGGCCAGACGTGGACTTGAACGTGGCGAAGAACTGGGGTGGAAAGAAAGTGGAGGCTTCGGTGCTCAACCACGGAGTGCACAAAGCAAAGAAAAACCGCGGGCAAAAGCGGAAAATCTGGTGGCAAAAGCACCTGGAAAGAAAGGCCGGCAAGTTCGGCGGCGACTATCAGGGCGACGATGAGGAGAATAAGGAAGATGCGGAGGAAGGCAAGGCCCCTCCTGGTGTGGATCCAGACCACCAGCCCCTGCACAAGAAGGACGGCCCCGACGATGACCACCACGATGATCCGGGCCGCACAGTGGATTCAGCAGGATCGGCAGGATTGCCGCCGCCGATCCACGTGGTTTAAGGACCGATCCTGGTCGCCTGAAGATGCATCTTCGCTTGGAAAAGAGTTGAGGTGTGCTTTGAAGCCTCGGTTGTTTGTGCTTGCATGTCTGCATGCATGCATATATATATATATAGCAGTTCATGCATTCTCAAGAAGTCACTTCCTCGCAGGACCCAGACAGTGCCGACGAAGCCGAGGCACCCGGGCTTATCATGCATGGGCTGGGTGCTAGTGTATGCTCCTCGTGCAGGTATATCTACATGCCGAACTGCGGGGACGATGTGGGGCCGGCCCCGCACTGAAGTTTGTGGTCTGTGTCGCTGAGGCTGGCTCTGGGGACTATACCATCCAGGCTGGCCTTGGTCGTGGTGCCGCTGCCTTGGCTGTGTTTGTGTCTGTTCAGG